CTTAAGTAGTTCTATAGATTTGATTAGTAATATTGTTTTTTTTTTTTTCTTTTCTTCTCTCTTTTTTTTTTATTTGTTTTATTGGGTATATACACATGTATATTTGTACTTGCGTACATATATAGACGCGCATATTTGTTTTCAGTGTTCATTCCTTATGTTACTTATTAGGATATTTATTAATATAGGTTATTCTTATTTTATTATAGAGCTGGTTATCTATACTGTCACCGTGATTTCGTTGGACGGATATGATAAGGATAAATTAAAAGTAAGTTAATGCTATATTTCTATCGTTACTACATTTATTCATATAAGTTTTAGTCTCTCCCCTTTTTTTTATTTTTTATTATTTTTGTTTAAGTATATTCAAGTATTTGCCGCGTATTCTTTCCTTAGCTTCGTCTAAATCCAGGCGATAAGCAAGATTATGTAGTCTTTTTACTTCTAGCATAAGGCTTGTCGTTGACATTTTGCTTAGCTCTGTAAGGATAATTATTTATTGATTATATATAACGGTTTTATCGTATAAGAGTGCAGTAATTAATATATTTCGTTATTGTTATAGGTGAGAAGAGGTAATAGTGAGCTGAGACTGAATTAATAAGGATAAAGGATAAGTATTTCAATCTTATTTTATAATCTTATGAATATATATATATATGAATAAGAATATTAATGTATTTTCTTTCATTTTATTTCAGGTAAGGAATAGGTACGAAATTATCCTGGATGGGCTTGTTTTACGAGTGTGAATATGAATACGTTATAATAGTAATCTTACAATTAGTAAAGCATGTGAGTTACTTGCATTTTAAGGTTGACTAAATATATGTGTTTTTCTATTTTCTATTATATGCGTGTGTCAGCGTACTTTTTCCCCTTTTCTATGCATGTATATTAAAGTTAAAATATAGAATTAAGATTATATTCTACTGATCGCTACGATTTAATTTTCAAAGTACTTATTCTAAGGAAATTAAGGTCCTCCACCGTGCTCATTAAGTATAATCATAGGTTAATGTATAAAATTAATATTTTATTTCGATCCCTTCACCATGTACATAATAAAAATGTTAGTATTAGGTTAATGTGGTCTT